ATTAGTACAGTTTTTTTTTTTTGAGGAATATATTAGTATAGATTAGTATAAATGTAACCATTAATGAAATAAATATTTGTAATAACTAAAAAAAAACATGAAATCATTAGTTGAAAAGAATATTCATAATGATAGCAATATTAATATATTATACTACTACAAGATGATGATTGTAAGAATCATATGGAAAAAGGGTCACAAAGGAAGCTTTACGATGAAAACATAAAGCAAGTTAGTTACTATAAGATGATAATTGTAAGAATCATATGGAAAAAGGGTCACAAAGTAGGCTTTACAATGAAAACATAAAACCAGTTTTGAATTATAAAGCAAGTTAGTTCCTTCCACGCTTATAATTTTGCTTTAGATTCTTGTATTTATATTGCTATTAAATCATCTTTAGAGATATCTATAATTATATTTATTAGCTCGAGTCCATTAGAAAATAATAAGAAGTCATACTACTTTGTTATCTAATACTTTTATTTATTTATGCTTCTTAAATATAGTTAATGTATAGCACGTGAATTTATTTATTTTTAGGAGAATTTAACAAGAATAATCCAACCTTTGCCCATTCTCTCAAAATAATCTCACCTTTAGATTATTCCTGAATAATCCAACCTTTGCTATCCAAGTTCTCCTAACAAGCCTATGTGACCGGTTACCTGAAGATCAGGTAAGTTTTTTTGTTTTTTTTTTCCCTGTTTTCCCCTTTATTCTCTTCTCCTCCTATCTCCTTACTGACATCAATGGATGGAACTCATGGCAGCCCCAACCATATCATTGGCTTCCCTCTCTCTCCTCCTCCTACCTCTCTTCAATGCCTTTCTACCTTCAAACACAACCACCCATCCAACTTTTCCTCCGACCACCTTAAGATACTGCAACCCACCCCCATTGTTGCCCTATTTGGCCTGAAACTAAAGGATGTATGTCTTCGTCAAGTGTAATTACTAGATATATAATGGATCAAATTATGGAGATAATTAAGTTCGTTCTTTTGGGTCGTCATTATCTATTGCTAGACGTGATCGATGATCTTTGGGCTAGTCAAATAGTCCAAATCCCAATAGAATGGATCCTATAAGTTAGAGGTGATCAACATTGGCTCGACCCGCTAGCCCGACCCGAAATAGGGCGGGTTTGGGCAAACATAAAAATGCATTTTTAGTTAAAAAGCCCGAACCCGGCCCGAAAAGCCCGTTTTGCCCGATAAGCCCACTACTTTTTTTACGGTTTTGGGCACGAGAAATTATGTTAAGGCCCGGCCCGACTCGATTTTTGATCACTGATGTGTCTAATTTATATAGTATTTTATCTCCGTCCCTTGGTCATAATTAGTAGTGTTTTTGGCTCTTTAGAGCCACTTTTATTACTAATTGGTGTTTTCTAGTGTTTTTGTAGTTTTGCTTGAGTTTTGTAGGAAATTGCACTTTTGGAGCATTTTCCCGGGTTTTCATGGAGCAAATACGGACATTAGAAGAGCACGACCGTCTTTGAAGTCCAAGGCCGGTTAGAGTCATCAAGCCGGTGATTAAGGGCTCGGTATATGTGATACCAGGGCATTTGGACCAATTATTCAAGACCCGAAGAGGAGATCCGGATTGGGCCGAAGAATCAAAGCCCAATCGAAGTCCAAGCCTCGAGGTGGAATCGGGCCCGATCGGGCAGGCGCGCAACGAGTGCTGCTAGCAAGGCGCGTCCGATCGGGTGAGCATTAGCTCGATCGGGCACAGCTACTTAGAAGAGGGTGCGAAGAAAAAGGCGAGCCCGATCGGGCGGCCCGCTCGATCGGGCGCGTGTTTCTGGAGCACCTGATTTGCCGAATTCTTAGTTTCTAATTAGGAATGTTTTAGAGTTTGTTTAAGTACGTTTTAGTACTTGATTTTTGTTTACCTTTTTTTCTTAGACTTTATCTCTCTACTTAGATTATTTCTCTCTCTAGATTCCTCTCAACTTTTACTCTTGTTCTTGACTCAACTTTGTAGTTCCATTGATTTTGGCAACGATTCCTTCTCTACTAATTTCAGCAATTTTATTCCTTTATTCTCTTATGACTTATTTAATTGCTTTATTTAGTTTAGATTTAATTATGTTTGAGTAGTTTTATTTCTAGGGTTTGTGGGGATCTGTAAATAAAAAAGGGTGCTAGATTATTGAACAAAAGAAAGAAGCCCATTATTGGGCCTCATGGAGTGGCAGGCCATGTGGGATTAAAGAGAGAGTATTGTGGACTTGGTTTGGACTCTAATCATACATATGATGTATAAATAGAGGCCTTGCCTAGGGTTTGAGATAACACACTTAACCAGTCAATTGAGAATTGATAGTGAGCAACCAAACCCTAGCCTCACATAATCTCTCTCCTTATTCCCTTCCTCCCATCTGTACAACTGTACGGCCCCTAGTGCAAGTGGCGCACGGTGGTGGTGTGGTGGTGTTCGTGGTCAGTTTTCTCCTCCCCTCTCCGTAGAATGTGGTTCGAAGTGTTCGTGCCCAACTACCTAGCAGTATTGGAGGTTCAATCCTATCCCGTGGACTAAGTAGAGGAGCAACGCTTGGGGCTCTATTATCTCCCTAATTGTCAGTCAATCGCTTGTGGAAATCACGCGTCAAAAGTATGTATTATGTGATTCTTTATGTGTTATGCTTGTAGATCCTATTTAGGTGCAAACGAATATGATTCGTAAAATTCTGCATTAAAGTACCTAAAGCCCTACAGAAACCACCTCAAAACCTCAACTAATTGCAATACTTATGATAGTAATGAAACACAAACCCCTACAATTTGAAAAATTTATATGAATTAAAGGTGAAAAATCCTAAATTGATTTCTAATTTTCTGGTTTTGTTTTAGAATTCTTTGTTGATTTTTTTTATTGATTGATGTGATGAATGTTGGATTAAACTATTAGATTTTCTTTCTTATTTGAACAAAGTGGGTGATTGTTTGTGTTAATTGAGAAGTTGATGTTAGTGATTTGATGTTGGTGTGTGGTGCTAAGAAACGTGTTTGTGGATTGGTGGTGCAAGGATGCGGGGCGTAGGATTTGCCAATTTGGTGAGGTGGTGTGGTTGAGGTACTGGTGGCTTTGGTTTTTGTGGGGGTGGGTCATGGTTGTGGTTAGGTTCAGTGGCGGATCCAGGAATTCTAACTAGGTGTAGCATAGAATAATAAGGAAAAAAAATGAAAATTAAAAAAAAGTTCTATGTTATATACTAGCATTATCATTAGCATTTAAATTTTAAAAATTCTTTTTTGTTGACGAATTTTCATTTAGCAAATATGGAATAAATTATATTCTACTTATGAATATAATCAAATTAAAAAGTATTTCATAGGTTTAATAGTATGTTTTTGTATGTATTCCTCTGAATTTACTATTCAAAAGTAAATATAAAACTATAAAATTATTTTATTTAATATAAATTATTGATTTACTCAAATGAAACTAAATAGTAAATACATTAATTACTTACCAAATAAATATGTGCATTGAAAAGTGCAACAAAAATGGGAAGAAATTTTATCAAAAAAGGAGTTTTAAGAATAGTATTTTATTTTTTTTTGACAGGAAAAATAATATTGTATTATTATTATATTTGGTATTATGTACGGTGATTAAAATAATTTAAGTATAAGTTTATATATTTTATAATTTAAAATCTTAAGATTCTAATAATATGTAAGTTTTTATAACTTAAATGAGAGTTTTTACAAAAATTATATTATGTACAAACATTTTTTTTTGTTGAAAGAAATATTATGTACATATATAACTATAGTTAATTTGTTTCAAAAAAGAAAAAAAAAACAATCTAAGAGACCTGTTTTATATAAACAAGTCTCTTTTCTTTTAACAAGGAAATCATAAAACGAAAAGGTTAGAACCTTGTGCTACCCTTGTGCCTTCATAGATCCGCCACTGGTTTTTTTTTTTTTTTTTTTTTTTTTTTTTTTTTTTTTTTTTTTTCCTGTCTGGGTGTTATGGATGGTGTTAATGGTGCAAGAAAGCAATTTGTTTGGTTTTGTTTTGTTTTGTTTTGGGTTTTTTTTTTATTTTTTATTTTTATTTTTTTTTATTTTTAATTTTTAAATAGAATTAAAAGATTAAAATCTAAAATAAAAAATTTATCCAATAATGAAGTGACACGTTGATTGGCAACCCATTGTATGGGTAGGGTGACTTGCTAGGATTGTTATGAGAAAATGGGTAGCAAAGGCTGGATTATTCAAGAATAATCCAAAGGTAAGATTGTTTTGGGAGAATGGAGGAAAGGTTGGATTATTCTTGTTAAATTTTCCTTATTTTTATACAACTTATTTTCTTCAACCAAATCTATAATAAAAGCATTTAAGATTATTATAATACAAGAAAACTATAATTTGAAGTAATGAATATTTAACGTATGAACCCGGAGCATCGTCCGAATTAAACACTAGTTAAACTTCCTCCGTTTTTAAATACTTGCTACTTTTTTTTCTCGGTCGTTTATAAATACTTGCTCCATTTCCTTTTATTAAATTCATTTCTCTCACCTAGTAAAACCCAACCTAAATCATGCTTTATTAATTTCGTATTCTCTCCTCCAATTATCTCCACTATTTTTGCATTTTACATTTTTTTTATTCTTCCACCTACCCCACTGCCTCCATATTTTACTATTTTCTCCTATTTCTCCTAATACTCCGCGCATGGAGAAATTGAGCAAGAATTTAAAAACAGAGGAAGTAGTTAAAATGTGTATTGGCAAACATAACGTGCTTCGTATATGTAATTATATTAATAGATGCATTTACAAAAGTGATTAATTTTTACCAAATTATAAATACGTACATTTAATAATAAAATGGAGAGAGTGAGAGATAGCTCAAGTAGTTAGGAGCCTCCTGGTTCCAAGAGATCTTGAGATCAATTCTCACCCCGTCATTGGCTCTCTCTAATCACCAAAAAAAAAAAAAAAAAAAGAAAAAAAAAAGAAAAAAGAATGGAGGGTATAAGTTTTACTTGCTAAGTTGCTTTCACGATTTCCTTAAGGTGTTGTACATACAAGATTTGCTACTTGCATGTATATTGGTTGTATATTTCCACATACAATTTAGTTAAGTACAAAAACATTAATCCATATGACCCTAAAATATACTTCATAGGAGTAAATCGATAAGCATGTACTCCTTTCTTTACCTGCATTGCATGACATCAAATTTACAAATTTACAAGTACCTGTAAATACAAGAGAACACACACACACACCCCTATGCCCAGTCTTCTGGCAATGGTAATCCAGCCTTTACTGCCGCTTACAATGGTTGTGAATTCTTGTAATACTGTTGCAACAAAAGCAGTATCAAACTTCCAGCACAAGCTGACTAAAATTGTTTAATTAAAAGCAGTGAGGACTAAGGAGATTATGACCCTTTTCTCTTCACCTGATTGATATTTACTAAACTTAGATAATCTTTTTGCTGAAATTAATTTGTCTTTTGTAAAAAAAAAAAGCAGTATCAAACTACCAGCACAAGGCGACTACAATTGTTTTATTAAAAGCTGTGAGGAACTGAGGACTAAGGAGAGTATGACCCTTTTCTCTTCACCAGATATTTACAAAAGCTTGGATAATCTTTTTGCTGAAATTAATTTGTCTTTTGTAAAATTAAATCTTTTTTTTAGTGAACTAAGTATTTTTACCGATTCACCATGTATTTGTTTTTAAAGTTATTGAGAGGTAGAAACTATGCAAAATGATTCACCATGTATTTGTTTTCTGAAGTTATTGAGAGGCAGAAACTATGCAAAATTAGATGGTGCACATGAAAAAAAGAAAACTTGTGTTCTTTGGAATTGACATATATATTCTTTTACTTTATTTTCTACGTATTTGCTAATATAACACACGATGTTCCTTAATATTGTAGGAAAATTGCTTCATAACCTACACCTTAAACCCCAAAGTACATACTTTCCAACAAAGCTTAAAGTCTAGGCCTATTTGTCCTTAGTCTCCTTTTGTATATGGGTGACACCCTCTTTGTAACACCCTAGAAATTCCTTTCTTTTAAAATACCTGTTTTGCCATGTGTAAAACTTTAAATAGAAATATCTAAGACATTACCGCCACCGTGAAAACGGCTAAAGCAACGATCAAAGACACACAAGGGAAGACTATCTTTAAAAACATTCAAAACAAGTCAACTTTAAAAGTCAACCAAACGAAAGTAAAGTCAAAAACCAAAGTCAAACGAAGTAAAATAAAACCATCCTACAACTTGGAACCATTGTAGGCCCTTATTAAAACCAAACCAACTTCAAACTTTTGTGTTAGTCTCAAAAATAATAATATCATAAAATAATCAAAGCATTAACACATCATAAACTAATAAAATAAATGGGTATTACAATCTACCCTCCTTAAAACAAGTTTCGTCCCCAAAACTTAAAATAGAAAATTTTAGGGTATTACACCCTTGGTGTCTTTAAAATAACTCTCAAACAATAATTATAAAAAAAAAAATCCAATATGTTTTTTTTTTCCTGTTAAATTATGATTACGTTGAGAGTGATTTTGCCATTTAGGGCTTAGGCTTGGTACATGGGTATTCTGATACTTCATTTTGGGACAACTCATGGATATTTTTCACTACATAGCCAAGTTGAACACTTGAACTCCGCCTTTGAGTGTCACTTTGTGGCATATACTGTCGGTCTCAAGCCCGGATAAAGGAGGAGAGTTGCGGTAGGTTTGTGGCGCCCAGTGTAAAACATACATAGTCACATCATATGGACATGAATCAAAATTTAGATATCGTGGGGGAGTTCCCTACTCAGTGACACGCTGCACTTCATAGGCAAGGGTTGCTAGATCGTCACCCTGAACTCCTAAAGCGACACGCCATCTTGAAGCGTGGGGGTAGTGTCAAGTATACAAGGGTTCCCGCATGGCAGACGAATGCGGATAAGGGTAAAGAAGCTAGTCCATGGAAATAGTAAGGGTATTAGGATGCATTTTGGGACTTGGAATGTTGGCTCTTTGACCGCGAGGTTGGTTGAATTAGTAAAGGTTATGAAAAGGAGGAGAATTGACATAATGTGTTGGACACAAGGCAAAGGAAGGGTTTATAAAATTTGGTGCTTGGGTAAAGATAAGGGTAGGAATGGAGTAGGTATCCTCATTAATCAGAAATATATTGATGATGTGGTTAAGGTGTCTAAAAGGAGTGATAAAATTATGAGTGATAAACTTATGATTAGAGTTGGCAATGGATCCCGACCTGAACTGAATCCGTGGATCCATATTTGATTTTGGATATGGATCTTTAAATTTTGGACCCGACGGATCCGAGTTGGATTCGACCCGGATCCTATAGAGAAAAACGGATCTGGGTACGGGTCCAACAACAAGACTCGTACCTAGATCCGTTTACCCACTTTTTATACATAGAGTACTAAATATCTAAAATTTGAAATTGCAGATCTTAATATTTCGCTAGCCCAATGGTTCGAAGAGCCTAAACCTAAGTCAAACTAAACATATATTTATGTCTACCACAAACTGTCAAACCCTAACTATTTTCATTCACCAATCATTCTCATTTTTCTTTCTTCCTCTTTCCTCCCATGAAGGATAATCTCTACCTTTCACTTCTTTCTATGTTATCCCTTAAAATACACTCTTGAGTCTTATCAATTAATCTCCTTCATCAAAGCGCTTGATCTGAATCTGTAATGAAGCATACTCGATATGAATTCTCTATTCATGCGCGTACTCGAGTTGAATTCTTTTTTCATTGAGTTTTTTTGAAATATCTTTTGATTATGTTTCTAATTTGATAGATTGAGATTTTTTATTGGGATTGTTAATAAAGTTTTGAGTTTTATTTGTTCATGTAAGATTTGATTCTAGTAATGTGTACCAAACTAACAATTTAGAAAGCTTTAATTTTTTTTTTTTTGTAGAATTGTTGTTGTATCCATTAGTTTTCATTGAATGATACAAAATAGTTGAAAGTATAAATTTGTTTTCGCTTAAATTATTGATCAAATTAATATATAAAAGTGATGGAAATAAAAGTGAACCATCAATTTTGATACTTAGATGATCTATAGAGTTGTGAATTTTATTTTTTACAATTTTTATTGACCTGTTATATACCCGTTTTGGACCCGAATGGATCATCATTTTTTATACCCGATGGATCCAAGTCCACTTATAAAAACAGACCCGGATATGGGTCCATTAGGACCCAATCTACATCCGACCCATTGCCATCCCTACTTGTGATAGGTGATGATGTCATAACTATAATAAGTGCTTATGCACCACAAGTAGGATGGGAAGCCTCTATTAGACAAGTATTAGACAAGAACTTTGGGATGACTTCGAAGAATTGGTACAACAAAGGGTGAGAAAATGGTCATTAGGGGGATCTTAATAGACATGTGGGCACTATGAGGGATGACTTTGAAAGTATTCATGGAGGTTTTGGTTATGGAGATATGAATGAAGTGAAAAATGATATTTTGGATTTTGCATTGGCATATGACTTTGAGTATCAATAACACATGGTTTGAAAAAAGGATCTCCCACCTAGTGACTTATAGGAGTGGGGGCAATGCAAGACAAATTGATTTCTTTATGGTAAGGAACGCTTGGGGGAAGAGTTACGTTGATTGTAAGATGATCCCCGGGGAGAGTACAGACTTGTAGTGCTTGATTTTCTTAGTTTAAAAAAGCGCCCAGGCCAAAACGCCTCGGTTTTCCAAGGCGCAAAGCTCAAGGCGCAACGCCATGTTTCAAAGCATGAGAAAAGGGGGATCTGGATTAATATTTGAAAAATTAACGTATTTTTGTTTCAAATTGAAGCTTACCAAGTGTTTAGAGTAATAATTCGAACAAAAGCCCCTTAATATTGAATGAAATCACTTCAATTTGACCCCCGATTTAAAAACACTAATTTCTAAAAAACCCTAATTTCCAAGTTGCTTTACAATTGAATAAATTTAGGGTTTGCTATGGCAGACATCACAGAAGATGACTTCCCGGCGGTTTCCGGCAGCATGTATACCGGCGGCCGGCGCCAGGTAAGTTTTCTTTGATCTGATTTTTTTTTCTTTTTCTATTATCTCTTCGATCTCTGTTCTTCTCTACCTACTGACTATAACGTAAAAGAGATTATATTTTTGCGTCCTTCTAACTTTGTAAATCACGTGACCATCTTCCTTTTTTTTTTTTTTTTTTTTTTTTTTTTAAATATAAAAAAGTAACATAAAATAATTTTCACATTAATTTAATTTTTTTGATTAATTTTAATGCAAAAAAAGAAGTAAAATAAAAAAATAAAAAATTTGCGCCTCGGGTGCGCTTTCGCTTTGCGGCTTACGCCTAGCCTCTAGGAACCCTTTTGTGCCTCGGTGCGCCTCGCGCTTTTTAAAACTAAGTTGATTTTCGAGGTCGTAGATATGCTAGGAGCCTAGGACGCAGAGACCACAAGTGGAGCCTAAGATCAAGTGGTGGAAACTTCAAGGGGAGAACCAACAAAAATTTGTAAGAAAGATGGGAGGATGTATGAATTTGTCTGGTAACACTGATTTGAATGTAGATGCGATGTGGAGTAAAATGGAGCATAGCATAGAGGAAGTGGCAAAAGAAATTCTAGGAAAATCCAAAGGAAGCATGCCACCGAGTAAGGACACACATCTTGGTGAAATGAAGAAGTGAAAAAGGCGATCAAGAACAAACGAGATTGCTGTAAGATGTAAGAGAAATGCAGAAGTGATGAAAATTATGAGAAGTATAGAGCGAGAACAAAACTAAACCGAGACCTTTATGCAAGTTTGGATACAAAGGAAGGAGACAAAGGCATCTATAGGCTTGCTCGTATTAGAGATCGGAAGACGCGAAATATTGAAAAGGTCAAATGTGTGAAGGATATTGAGGAAAGAGTTCTTGTTGGAGACAAGGAGATTAAGGATAAATAGAGGTCTTTTTGATAGTCTATTCAATGGTGATCAAATTCAAGATATTGGTGATACAAGCGTAGTTTTAAAAGGCGCACCAAGGCGCAAATGGTCCTTACAGCCTGCAAGGCGAAGGCGCGCACCTTTTGTATGCAAGGCGCATGTATTTATATATTTGTTTCAAATTATTTTTTACTTGATTGTACTTAATACCAATTAAAAAGATTCATAATAAATTAAATAATGAAATATGTAAAGCTTAGGTAATCTGAATTTGAAAAAATGTCCATCATTCTTCAATTATAAACTTAAATCTTAGTTATTTTCCTTGAGTTGCAAAGGCACTTTGAAGGCGCACGAGGCGCGCGCCTAGGTGACTGAGCCTCGCCTAGCTAAAGCCCATTTCCCCTCGGCGAGCCCGAGGCGCACTTTTTAAAACCAAGGATACAAGTGTCCCTCATGATATGGTTAATCGCCAGTTTATGAGGATTCAAAAGGGAGAAGTCAAAATGGCATTAAAAAGATGGGATTGAAGAAAGCGGTTGGACCAGATGACATTACTATTGAGGTTTGGAGATGCTAGGGAGAAAGAGGAATTGAGTGGTTGACAACTTTTTTCAACAAGATTGGGGGACGTAATAACATGCCTTTTTACGGGAGGAAAAGTACTTTGATACCTTTGTATAAAAACAAAGGTGATTCTAAGATTGTGCTAACTATCCAGGGATTAAACTAATGAGTTATACTATGAAACTTTGGAGCAAGTGATAGAGCAAAGGTTAAGAAGAAGTGTGAAGATCTCAGAAAACCAATTCAATTTGGATTGGAGATCAACTATGGAAGCACATCTAATGAGACAACTAATGGAGATCTATCGGGATAAGAAAAAGGATTTACATCTGGTTTTTATTGATTTGGAAAAGGCTTATGATAAAGTACCAAAGGAGATTTTTGGGTAGGTTTTGACAAGGAAAGGCGTTTCGCGGATATATATTGACATCACTAAGGATATGTATGAAGGAGCTAGCACAAGTGTGCGGACCGCTGTTGGGAAGACGAAAGAGTTCCCAATTACAATTGGAGTTCATTAAGGTTTGCACTTAGTCCTTTTTCTTTTCTTTTATTTCTGAAGTCATGGACGAATTGACGAGTTTAATTCAAGATGATATACCATGGTGCGTGATGTTTGCCGATGATATTGTGTTGATTAATGAGACGAAAGAAGGCGTGGGAAGTAAGTTGGAATTGTGGAGACGCACTATGGAGTCCGTGGCTTGAAAGTGAGTAAAAGTAAGATGAAGTATTTAGAATGTAAGTTTAGCGGTGTGGGAAACAATGAGGCAGGATGATCACCTTGGATGGGAAGATTGTTCAAAGTTGTAAGGTCTTCCTGGAATCAATGAAAGGATGGAGATGTAGCTCATAGGATCAAAACGAGTTGGTTGAAGTGGAAGAGTGCGACGGGCTTTTTATGTGATCTATGCATACCCCGTAGATTAAAGGGGAAATTCTACTGAATGACAATAAGACCTGCTTTGTTATATGGTAAAAAATGTCGGACCGTAAAGCACTACCACGTGCATAAGATGAATGTGGCGAAGTTGTGTATGTTGTGATAGATGTGTGGTCATATAAAAAGGATTGGTTGAGGATTGAGATAACAAGGAAGAAAGTAGGGGTTAATTCGATTGAGTACAAGATAAGGAAGAATCGCTTAAGATGGTTTGTCCATGTAAGAATGAGACCAAGTGACACTCTGGCAAGGAGGCTTGAAGAATTGTAAAATGTTGGGATCGCGAGAGGTAGGGGAAGACATAAGAAAACTAGGAAGAGGGTGATTGAGAGTGACATGAGTGCTTTGGGGATTATGGGGAATATGGTGTTGGATAGGGCGGTGTGTGAAGGGAGAAAATTCACGTTAACGACGTGTCGTGATTATATATACTTTCTAAATTTACTTTTGTATTTAATTTTATTTTTAGTCCACCAATGTTTTGTAAATACTATATTGAATTCTTTTGCTAAAGTTTTCTCAAACCTTTATGTTTTCTACTTCAATTTTAACCACTTTTTAAAAACTTTCTTGGATTTATTCTTGGTTCACTTTTAAAATTCCCTTAATTTTTCTTAAATGCTCTTTCGTTTACTTACTTAACTCACCTTTGTTTTTTTTTTTCAAACTCTTTAAATGATGATTTTGTTATTTCCTTTTCTTTGTATCATACGATTCCTTATAATGGTCCATGTTAGCCGACCGCAAGTTATTTTGGGACTAAGGTTTTGTTGTTGTAGTTGTTGTTGTAGCCAAGTTGAACACTTGGACATGTATGATGTACCCGTGCGAATTTGAGTATCTGGATTTGAGAAGCATAGCTATTGAGTCATTATGGGGCACTGGTATGGTTTATATTCAAATGTTAAAATAGAGGGTCAATTCCATATATAGAAGTTTGCAAGTGAAGTAGAAAAAATGTAGAAAGCATTGCAAGTAAAATGGGATGGAGGGAGTAGTAAAAAACGAAAAAAACTTGAGAATAAACTAAAAAGTCTATCAAATTGATCGAGTCTCAATGAGTCCATGAGAAAATCCATAAATGACTAGCCTATCTATTTCACTCAGATCTGTAGCCCTTGATTGAAAGGTGAGTTTGGTCATCTAGTATGAACTGAATTATTCTGTGTCAAATTAACCCTTATGTAAGATATATTAGTAGAAAGCACACTAAAAAGCACAGATTATTGAGTGTAAGTTATTGTCTATGAACTTATCAGATTAATTATAGTGCTCCAAAATAAGAAAATTTAAGTTCTAGCATTTTACCTGCAGTTATATGTTGCTTTCTTCTACACTTGAAGACTTGTAGTTGAGGTTGGGGCCTGTAAGACTTGCTGCAGAAAACGTGCTGCCAGACGCTGAGCTATGCCACCAAGAACACGGCCTCCAAGATCACGTGCTTCGCTTTGTTGAAGTACCTGCAAAAATGAATTTTACAAGTTATCAATGGACCATCATCAAATTCAACAATAACTGCACAGTAACCACAGACACTGACAACAAGACAAGAATAACAGCCAATGATGGATTTTGGTATTCGTTCATAGAGTTCAATGAATAAAGTGCTTATGCATGGATCATATACACTGATTAATCAAGCAGTCCAGACAGCTTAATATGATCCACCCAGTAAAGTAGCCTTCTATTTTTACAGATCAACATTTCCTCAAGGCAAATCACATGCATAAAAAATGTAAAAACGTGAAATTAAAAGTTCGTTGTTAAATTAATTATTTAGACCTGTAATATAGGTTGTAGGAGGGAAGGTTCAAAGTTATTTGAAGACTGTAGAAGCCCCCAAACCTTTAGCACTTGTCCTCGAAGTTCCAACATACTTTGCTGTTCAGCTTCCTTTGGTAATAAGAAAGGTCCTGTCGAACTACCATTTGTTACTAGAGTCCTCATGAATTCAGGTAGAGAACTGTATGTATCCATCAAAGAACCCAGAATTACTGCTTCAGTAACTCGCACAGCTTCCTTTATAACTAGAATCCTTAGTTCTTCACCATCCGGCCCCAACAATAGCTTCAGAACAGGTTGTAAAGCGTCTTTTGCAGAAAAATCCCTGTCTTTACGCCCCTGAACAAGTAAATTTTCAAGTCTATTCCACCTGCAGTCAACCACCATAACATAAGAACTTTCATCTTTGGGTTTTGTGCAATCAGTTTCAGCAATGATTAAGACAGAGTAACCTGAATTTCCCATCCTTAAACAGCAACTCAATAAGAGCATCTCGCAGATATGGGTTAGGATCAGTAAGAAGTCTCTTAGCAAAATATGGATATGATGCAGCCAGAACCTTAAAATTTGGATCTGCATAAAGTGCTAAACCTTCCAGCACAGTAAGAGACCTCAGTATCAATGCATAATATGCCGGAACTGCCACATTAATTAAGAATAACATCAGATGTAGAACAGCTTCAATCTGAAGCAAATATTAAACCCACAAATTATCAGGTTAAGGACCTGCATAGACTCTGTTCCCTTATGGATGTATAACAGTGGAATGAGAAGTTTACCATTGAATGGATATTGATAAAAGACGGCTCCTAGACCATCTACAAGCGTTTTGAAGTTTAGTTCACTAACAGTTGAACTGAGTGCATCATCAAAGAAATCCCGAAGTACAGGCACAATTGGAGAAACATCCACATCAGGGGATAAAAAATTCAGAGCATAATAATCTTGAGCCATGGCTTCATAATCACGATTAACCATGTGGACAACATGGCCAATAATTGCAAACCTTGCTTGTTCTGGGGTTTCACTCATCATTCCAAAGTCGATGAATGCCAGCTTTCCCTCAGGAGTTGCCAGAAGATTGCCAGGATGTGGATCTGCATGAAAGTATCCGTACTCAAGTAATTGTCTAAGGCTACACTGGATACCAATGGTAACAAGATCCAACACCTTCAGCCCTTGTCTCTCAATTGTGATTTGTTCATTTAACTTGACTCCATCGACCCACTCCATTGTTAAAACTTTGGCACTGGTGTAATCCCAGAATATATCAGGAACAAAAACATCTTCCTTGTCAGCGTATAATTTCTTAAATCTTCTCGCATTCTTACCCTCCTGCAAATACCTGTCAAAATTAACATCCAAACCCAAAGAAAATATCATAAAAAGAAAACATGGGATGAATTTCAAGTTCCAAAACTTTCAAAACGAGCAGTTTGATCAGAGCAGCTTTACTGAAGGGAAAATTATAGCTTCCAAATTTACCACAGAATTGGCAATTATTGCTATAAACACTTGGGCATCAGATAATGCAAAGGCCTCTCTGACATCCGCAAGGAAGCTGCTCTCTTTGACATGGCTAATCCAGGTCAAGGGTGGGTGACTGTTGTTACCTCACAGAGTATCCTGTTAATAAAATGACAAAATAAATATTGAAGAGGGAGTCCTTGCCTGCACATAGTTAAGCTCTTGATAAACTCTTCTTGCAAATTCATCAACTAGGGCAACAACATCACTTGTGACAAAGTCAACATATTTATTTATAAAAAGGGCCAGTCCTCTTATCAGGTAGAAGTCAAGCCCTATGGCCTCTTCAATACCAGGCCTCTGTACTTTGACAGCAACCGTCTGACCAGAATACTTCAATTGAGCTTTATAAACCTGACCCAAACTAGCAGCTGCAATCGGATATGGAGATATAGTTGAGTATATGTCCTCAAGTGGAAACTCCAGCTCCTTCTCAATGCATGAGAATGCCTCCTTATTCGGGAACGTAGGCAAAGCATCCTAATCAATCAAACACAATCATAAGAATTCCCTACTTGACATGAGACCAAGACAAGAGAAAAACTAGAGCTGATATAAATTCAGAATACATTTGAGTAGGCACTTGTTATTTGGTTACCCCTGATGTAAGGCAATTTCTGGTAATATAACCCTTTGAAGTTAAGAGGAGTAAGTAATTAGCAAGTAGTTATAAGAAAATGGAGAGTGAACCTGTAGCTGAGAGAGTTCCTCAAGGTACTCAGGTGGGCACAAGTCAGGCCTTGTGGATAAACCCTGGCCAATTTTGACGAAAGTAGGGCCGAGAGCAGTAAAAATCTTGCGGAGCTGAACAGCTCTTAAGGATTTGTTTTGATTGAGCTGACCATTCCAATTATCAAGCAAGAGCTTGAAAGCAAAGGAACCCAAACCGAACAAAATATCAGAGGTCCTACGAAAAACCTAGAAAATATATATGGGGTGGGATGAGTTAGTCCTTAAATAATCATAATCATAATCATAATCATAATCATAAATAAATAATGAATGGAAGCAACCTTGATAGGGCGTGAGCCATATTTAGTAGCAATCATCTGAGGAGTGTAGACAGAAGCGGCGGCTGCTCTGGACATGGCCCTTGCCTCAGCTTGCATATCATCAGCAAGATTCTTCTTCCTCCTGTCAGATTGTGATAGTGATAGTGCTGCATCATCGGTTTTGGTAATGCTCCTACTATTACTATTACTATTACTATTGCTATTGCTATTACGATTAGTATTAGGCCCCCCTTGAGAAGGAAAAGTACGGGCATCTGCCTCCACCAAGGCCGAAAGTGTTAATGGTCTAGACTTACGCCTCCGTCTGTGACTTATGCTAGGAATGTTGATGAATGATACTCCATTTTGATAACCAGAACTCAAGGGATGATGAGACAAGGACAACATCCCCGATGCCATGGATGGGACAATTATACTTGTGATTCCTGGAAAACCTAAATTAATTTTAAAAACTTCCACCATCATGAATTCATTCATACTGGATTGATACTTCCAAATTACAACTTAACAGTCAACAAATAATTATAGATAACCCAATAATTGAAATCAAATTGGTTATTAAAATAACAGATTAGAAAGAAGAGGTAAACTAACTAACCTTGGTTGGGAAATCGGAAAGCCGGCAGATGGAGGAGACCGGAGTAGGATGTGAGGTTACGAGAGAAACTTTGATATAGCCATCCAACCAACCATCCATCCGGTTATTGATTACAAATAAGACACGTGGCCGGTTAATCTCTGTTTTATATTAATAAATAAATCTCAAATGAGTGTAAGCAATTGTGTCCGCAAAGCTGGGTTGCCTTGGTGGAACGTTTAAGGCTTTAATTTTAGTTTGGTTGGGATGGGACATGGGACTATGGGAGTACTCTTTATTTTATTTAGGGGAGTATTACAAGCTACTAACTCAAGTACTACTTGTTCTCCTACAGTACTAGTCTGCTACTGCTGCAATGGCGTTGGCTTCACCAGCTGTTGCACATTTTACTGAATTCAGGAATGCCACCTTCAACCGCCGAAATTTCACAATTCGCGCCACTGCTACAGCGCCTCCTCCGGGCCCTCGGAAAGACGTTGATTCCAATTCCGATGATTTCGCCTCTTTCGCCCGCAGAAGTAGGAGTGTCAGTGTCGGAGAGATGTCTGCCGATATCAAGCGTGTCAGAGCTCGCATGGAAGAGAATGAAGATTTGGCTATTCTTATGCGCGGTCTCAGGGGACAGAATCTCTCCGACTCCCAATTTGCTGCCGACGATGTCCAACTCCGTTTGGTTGAGGTTTCCATTTTTCCTTTACTTTCTTTTCCGATCATATTCTTAACTTCACTCACTAATTTCTTAGCCATTATGAAATCAATACCAACCACACCAAACATTTAGGAAATAGAAACACTGTTTATTGGAAGATAGAAATAATTTGCATAAAAACAAACTTGTTTTGTAATGTCTCTTGTTATAGAGATATAATTTCTCATAATCTAAAGCTTAATTAGCTAGGGAATATTTTGCATAAAAAAAAATTGTTTCGTGATGTTTCCTGTTTTTGTCTTCCTTCTCTTTCCTACTAAGAGAATTGTCAATCAGCTCATGCGTGCTATTGTCTAGGTTGATGAAAGCAGCGAGTTCCTTCCATTGGTATATGATCCGTCAAGCATATCCTCATACTGGGGCAAGCGGCCACGTGCTGTTGCAACACGTGTTGTGCAATTGCTTTCTGTCGCAGGAGGTTTTCTTTCTCGTCTTGGATGGGATGTGATCAATAAGAAAGTCAAGGAGGTACTATCATCTTTTCATTCTCGAATTTTATAGAATAATGTTAATAAATAATACATTAAGGACAATAATATAGTGTTACGCATCCATGCAAGGAGGCAATATATATTTTGCTCTTAAGCTATCTTGCATGAATGGGGAGTGATGATATATTTTCTGCTGCATGTTATGATTAAATTTCTGTGTAAATCATGCTGCTTTTTTATTTTTTCATTCTTATGATCACAATCTTTACTTGTTTTGTTTATATGCCAAAAACCATTGAATACAAAACCTATAGCCTAAACATTTAGGGGCCGTTTGGTGGGGTATTCATCAAAGGGAAAAGGAATCATCCACACTTATTCCCTTTGTTGCTGTTTGGTAATCGTTTTTTTCCATTCCCTTTACCCCCTCCATTCCCCCAAATCCTTCTAAGCTCATTCCCCAACACCACCGTACCACCATCCTACTACCCACACAAACCACCGTAAAACTCAGCCACCCCACCGTCGATCGTCCCCCGCCCTTCGCTGCGCCTCCCCCGCGCCTTCGCTACTCCGGCGACGGTTTTCGGGGGAGAGGGAGATCGGGGCTAGGGTTTTGCAGGGCTAGGGGTGGTTTTTTCGGGGGAGGGGAGGTTGGCAGGCGTGGGGAGCAGCGGCGAGAGGCGGGGGAGGCGCGGTGAAGGGCGGGGAGTTGTGGAGGAGGTGCGGCGAGTGGTGGAGTGGCTGGGTGGTGGCTAGAAATGGTGGAAAGTGAAGCAATGTGGTGGTGGTGTGGTGGTTGGACCGGTGGCATTCCATTCATTCTATTCCTTTGTTATTCAAAACAAACAACACCCCAAAATTGGGGGAGTTTCATTCCATTCGTTGTCTTTCCCTTTGTTCATTCCATTCCGATTATCCCGTGCGAACCAAACGGCCCCTTAGTGTTAAACATGTGGTCAAATCTCACTTTCATATATGTACATGTTAAGCTTAAGATCTAGCCTGATTTTTTTCTCAACAAGTCCGCTGGTAGATGTAATTGTAAGGCTGTTTATGTCTTGGACTCTTGGTGTGAGAAACCAACCTCCTTTCTATGTTTTAGAAGCTTTATAAGTCATTTACTTATCTTTTCTAGGCCATAGAAGAAATTATTATGACTTTTTCAATCCAAGGGGCATTTGGTATAGTAATTTTTGATGTAGGAAACAGATTCAATTAAGTGTTTCCATTTCTAATTCTTTGGTATGGGTAAAAAGTAACATATACAGTCTCCAAAGGGTAACAAAAACCCCCAATTTGAGTCAAATTGTTTCTATTTCATTAGGGGTACCAAACATATAATAAAGGTAACGTTTATTATTATCCTTTCCCTTACTTATTTGAATCATTTCCGTTTCATTTACTAGGTTTATACCAAACACTCCCCCAGTGTTTAATAGAGAATATTGTAATTCCATCAAGAAGCTCTTTAGGGAGCAGTGATTAATGAAATCCAAGCTTCCTACCCATTGTTGCCTATCGCTTTATTACTTGTGTGTGTTTTTGTAGGCCTCTATAGATATTATTTTGCCCATATTTTAAAGCACCCAAAAATAGTTAAAATCACAAGAAACCCTCAAACTTCATTGTCGGACCCGCTTGTGCCCGCCTCAATTTGCTCAGCTATCACAAACCCCAATAACCCTTGACTCCACTCTTGTCTCCGATCGGCAGGAGGACCTATCAAACCTATTTCCCGCTTGTGCTACTCCGTGCTTGCAAGCCCCCTTCGCACTTGGCTAGCACCCTCATTGCCAATAGATGAAAGCGCGTTGCATGGATCCAGTGTCAAAACATTCGGACTGTGACACTTGGTCTCTCCAAGCACTGGTGCACCCTTCTGTACTGGTATTGCAGCCAATATTGTAAACGTAATCTACATTCTGTAAGGAATTTATTAGCCAGTAATCTCTAAGCACAACATAAAAGTATAAAACTCACTAAAATAAATGTTAGTTATATGTATAACGACATTGGATGTTGCTCTATGCTCTTCATATTTAATCATATAAGGCCCAAGAACAGTATTTTTCCAGCCATTCTGCCAATTACACCTGTGGATTCCCCCAGATTGTTTAGTGTTGAAGCTGCTTTTAGATGGAAACCTTCTTAATGTGGCTTCAACTTTCCCCTTTACTTGCCAGTTTTGTTTAAAATGCTATGTACTTTTTTTCTATCTTATCTTGGGTGACATATGCTTTTTAAAATGTGTTACTAGAAGCTGTGGATCAATGCTTTGGAGTAGGATTGAACTGTTTCTTCTCTGCTGAAGATTAAACAGTTCTTTATTCCTAAAAAAAATTTCTCTATTATGATTATTCATGCTTAATTTTCAATCTTTACTACTGGATTGATTTCAATGACTCTAATGTTTACCAACTTTACTTACCCCACTTTTCAGAATGAAGTTGCACGAGCAATTGAATTAAGGGAGATTGTGACCTCTTTGGGACCTGCATACATCAAACTGGGGCAAGCTCTTAGCATTAGACCAGATATACTGTCACCATCTGCAATGACAGAACTCCAAAAACTATGTGACAAGGTAATGTTAGGTTTGTTTTAGTATATTTTGCTAATTGCTATGGCTGGAAATGTTGGCGATTGTCTGTCTCCTTGAGCAAATTAGCCTAAGTTTAAATTACTTGGATCATTGTAGTTTCTTACCTTCTACATGTCGTGATCTTTCATTCTCAAGCTAAGGTTAGCATTTACATTATATTTCTCATCCTGCTTGTCTTAAAGAGCATTCATATTACGTGATGAGTGAATTTTCATCTACCTTCCTAATCCTTCCAACAATAGAGGGGTTTAGTTTATTAAAAGGGAAAGGAAAATGGATCCCTCCAATGCCCTACCTTTTCTTTCCTCGTTTCATATTTAAATAAGTGAAAGATGATTTTCACTTATTTCCCCTCCATTTTCCTCCAATTCCACCATACAAACACGGTATTTTCTTAAGTAGCCGGCTATATGTATATATATACTGGTTTTTAGTGAATTATTTTTCTGTTTTGTTTAAATCCCAAATTGAGGCAACCAAACTACATGAATGTGCGACTTGTAGCATGATAATGAATTTAAGGGGCTGGCTTTGAAAAAGAAAGGGCTACTTCGAGATTTGGGTTAAGGGCACTCTGGTGGCTTTCGATTAGTGTATTTTATATAGATTTATCTCAACACTTGTTCTAAGTGAGTATGGCCACCTTCTACGGAAGATAAAATAAAATTTATGGTTAGTTAAATATAAAACCATCCTTCCTAATGGCTAGGTAGGCAGTGATATGTAAAAAGTGCTTTTGAAAAATAAACCTAAGTAAATAGATATCATTGGACAACAATTCTAACAACAATCCTGGTAATTATAGCAGTAAGAGGAGACAAATCATTTTTTATCAGCTAAGTGATGTATATCAGCTTTGAGGTATTATACAGTCCACATAGGCTTCATCTGCATATTACCATGGTTTATCTTAAAAACCTTTCTAATTGTTAGCATCACCAATAGATATGCCTGTCTTTTCAGGTCTTACCCTTTCCTTTTATATGTTTGATGATGAGTTTTATTCCTCTTTGGCAATATATAAGGTTCCGTCGTTCCCTGATGATGTTGCAATGGCTCTAATAGAGGAGGAGCTTGGAAGTCCTTGGCCTGAAATTTATGATGAGCTTTCATCCTCTCCAATTGCTGCTGGTATGCACAGTAATTTATTGGTTATTGGGAAAAAAAGTGGCTTTTGTTTTAGTTTGAGACACAAAAAAAAAGGTGTCAGTTACTACACTGTTAAGGTAACTTATTATGTGCTTGCACATTCTGTTTCAGCATCTCTGGGACAGGTTTATAAAGGTCGATTAAAAGAAAATGGGGATTTGGTTGCTGTCAAAGTGCAGAGACCTTTTGTTCTGGAGACTGTAACAGTTGATCTGTTCATCATTCGTAACTTGGGATTGGTTCTTCGCAAATTCCCTCAGGTAATGTTTCCAAAATTC